AAGCCAGCAAAAGGAGACGCTTGGATCAAGAATCTATCTCTAACCGGAGGAAAAAGGATCGCGATGAATAAAGGGGGGACGGTGATTTTCTGGAATTAAGTGAAGAGGTTATCAGTGAGTAGTGTTTTCTCGAATAAACCAGTACAACTTCGGGGCCTGGCAGTCAGGGGACTAGACAGATGGACAAGGATAAGCGTCAAAGAAATTCGGCATTATGACCAAAATGTACCATAAATCCACTTAAGATGCCACATGCGACCAGAGATAGGCGTCCACAGTTTGCTCAGGTAAAACGGGTTTAATCAAGGAGACGACCAGTGAAGGCAATGTCTGATATCTGCAGGCATGGGAATCAGAGCCTAGACTCTCCGGTCGGGAGGCGATAGTGTACGTGCTTTTAAGGCCTTGATTTATAGCGCCTTGAGTAAAACACATACTGGGACTGGAACCGTGTGAAATAAGTCAATCATAAGGATAAGAAACTAGTCTATGGGACCAGGAGGGAGATCCGGATAGGAAGCCCGAGTCGGCTTAGCCAATGAATAGAGAGAGGGCAAGGGTGAATAGCAGGTGGTGAGGTCACAGCAAATTTGCCAGGAGTTGGATAAGAGGGTAAAGAGTTGATGGATGAGCCATGGCAGAAAGGGAAGTGATAGTGTTACCGTTTTCAACAGAATATTGGTCAAGGGATTTACTTCACTTGTCTCTGACGTATTCGTAGCTTTGTGTGGGGAATGGCAACACTCATTAATGATGTCAGTGAAACGTCTGAGAATGTACCAAGCCCATGATTTGATACTGGGACATATGTTAGCTACTATGTCAGAGGACCTCGCACAAAGCGCATTCTACTAAGTCATCCTGACAACAAGTCCAAGTTGGGAAAACGAGGTCAACCCACTTTAAACACGAGTCATAGTTACACATTTAAGGCAAATCTCCGAAACGTAGAGGTTTTCAGTAAGTAATTATTATGGCGTTTCCCATATTAATAAATCCAACTGGATAAATAATATATGCTCCGCCAAATAATTCACAGGAACCAGAGGGAAGGAATTAATATGAAAAAGTATATTTGGCAAATGTAAAGAAATGATACAAGTAAAGCTGGGAAAAACGTGCTGCTTTCCAAGACAAAAGAGGGACTAAAAAAATAGGAAATGCATTTTTGAAGATGACTTGTTGAAAAATTTTAAATCGAAATAATTACTAGAAGTGGGTTGACCTCGTTGCCGCAACTTGGTCTTGTTGTCAGGGTGACTATGTAGAACACACCTAGTCCGAAGTCGTCTGCCATAGTTGTGATCATTCCCAACATCTAACAGTGGACTTGATACATTCTCAAACGTTTCGCCGGCA